ATAATATTTTAATGTAAGAAAACGAGGTGTCGAACGAGAGAGCAAAACCTCATACTTCAGTAGGTTGTTTTAAGGACATGATAAATTTCGCTGCATTATTCATCAGCTGAGTTTTCGTTTAGGCTTTCAGCTCGATGTTTTTCTTGACGCTGGCATGAAACTTCTGGAGAACCCGTTAACAGTTTCCGCATTGTATAGTGTATCAAGAAAAACACGGTCATATCTGATACATGCTAGTGCAGTGGTGTCAACAAAATAGCCTAATGAATGGCGGTTATGCTCGCATGATCTCAATGGACGTTGTTTCCAAAATAAGCAACCTCTCAATCCGGAACACTGTCTGGTCTAAAAAACCTAAATTTCCTACCATAAGGTAACCTCAGCTATTGTAGCACTGGTAAGCTGAACGTATGAACTGTGTACGATTTCAGCTCATCGCTTCAGTTCGTGAGAGGCATATTTTCTGTCAAAATTCGGTTGTTCATTCATCTCTCTGCCTACTAATTTATGTTAGCGGGAGATTAGGTGAAAATTCGAATAGCTCTCTCGTTTAGTATCCAGTATACATTTATTATCACATGTATACATATATGTCCCAAATGTCTAGGGAGAATAATTACCTTATTTCTGACTCGAGAATGGAGGTTGACTTTTATGTACTCGCCCAGAACCTTTGATAGGGTGCAAGGGACACCTCTGGGTTCATTTCAGCCAATATCAGAATTTATTATTGTGATTCATACTACACGTAGCATCTGTGTAAGCCACTGTCGTGGTGCATGTACGAAACCGAATTTTCGAGGAAGAATTTGTTAAAAGTTCGTTCATAGGCAAGCCATGATCAGCCCTTATGCATCACAAAAGGCGTCATTCATTTTTAGTTGACTAGTTTAAGGTAATTTCGAGTGATGGAGTCTATTCGAGCAACGATCCGGGAGAGTGTTGCTCTTTGGAGAATGATTTCTTTGTTTACCATTCGGTAACGTGCACTCAAAAGGTCATTTTCATGGCATGGCAGTGAAGATCACTGCTTCGGTTGAGCAGCGGTGGTATATAGGGTATACAAGTTTACCTTTTTGCCACCGAATGCTAGTTCCGTGCTGCACAAATTCCGTACCAGAAGTGCGGATTTACCAAGGCTTTGTTGGTACCGACAATCATGCATCAGGTCACACAACTGTTGACAGTGTAACTTAACTTAAGTGATAGTATGGCACGTATAACAATTTCAGGACTGAAACACACTGAATGATATGGTTTTGGTGAGAATGAACCACAGTTCCCTTCCCAGACCACCCACGAGTAACTAATTGTGATAAATTGTGTACTATTATAGGGCCAGGTGTCTGAGTTTTCATGGCGCCTGTCATCATTGCATGACAAGCTACGTCTATAAGAATGGTGGACGATCCCGATTGGTCATACGGCACACTGAACTTATACTGCTACAGCACTTCAGTGTACAGTTGGACAGCGACCATTTGGCCATTTGGATCTTATAAATGTTCGATTTGAAATACAAAGAAAACCTTAAGATATTCAAAGTCAAAGTAGCATCACGATTGCCTCTTTCGTCTTTTGTGTGTTATCTTTTCAGTTTATCACACTCAGGATAAATTGTCTTTGGTTCATCTCCTCATCGGTCTCTAATAAGAAAGAAATTCGTACACTCGGTTTATACTCGCTTTTCATGCCCTTTGTACCCCAAAACTTGAGAGTTTCCGCCAGATCAACTGTGGTGGCCACCATGAACTCTGCTGTCTGATTTTCACATTGACGATGTGTTTATTGATCATGTTTTCAGATTCGTCTCAGATACAACGCATTACATGTGGCTGCTGCAACCGGTAATGCAGACACCATAAAATTGTTACTCAGCTATCTGAATTCACCTGATTTCTGGAGACGCATCTATCCTGGTACCGATGGCGCAACAGCTCGGGACCGTCAACGGCACGTCACAGATTTATATTTGAATAGCCCGGAATTAGGTGTAAGTTGGAGTGAACATTTATGTTCGTTTTGATACACTTTTCATCTTTTTCTAGGTGCGTTTCAAAACAGGCCATTACTGTTCACTACACTTTCATTTGGATTGACGTGGCAGATACTTCGCATTGAGCTCAGTTGGTCACCTCCGAAACGTGTTCGTGTCACCGGAGGAGTAGCAACCGAGCTCTTGAAGTTTTTGTTTGTTTCGAAAAGGCAAGGTTCACAGCGGAAGCCAAGATCAACTCCCTGTTATGTCTGCATAAGAACGACAGATCTAAAGAACCTATTGGAATGCATGGTGATCAGAGGCTTCAACTCTTGGTGGTAGGAAAAACAGGAGGGGGATATTGTCCAGCGGTTTTCCGTGAAATGGGGTCTGGTAGTGCAACACGTACTTCCCTTGTGCATTTTCTCTATTACCAAGGAGGAGAGACAAGGCTGTGCGGGAGTCCGTCTTCATACTTGACGAAAGTTTATTAGATTTTTTCGGAGCACTCTGCTAGATAAATTACGTGTGCAGGTTGGTGGATGATATCAAACCACGTATATTGAAATTTAGGAAATGAACACTGCAGTGGAAACCCGTAGGAAATAACAGATCAGATGAAGCACGGCAATGAGAAACACGAGTGTAGCTTTGATAAGAAAACTCCACCTAGCGATTTAGGTAAGGTTGCTTTTCAGATTTCTGATGCTAATTTAATGGGCTCTATATCACTGAAAAGAACACCAGCCCTGTGGTATGTCATCTCCAGCAAATGGTTGGATAATGGGTTCACTAGTTTGAACAAGTTTGCTAATATTCAGCCGAAGTGCAGTGTATGATAGCAATGTTTCCTTAAGGACTCCTCTGAAAATGGTCCAGATGCACATGTAGAGGTAAGAGCGTCTGTATTGAAAACAGTGGTTCCGACTGATCAGGACTAAATGAATCCCCTGACAAATTTCCAAGCATGACGAAACCGTAAACTTTTTTGCACGCTGAAGTTCAATGCAGGGAAAGGAGCTCCTGAAGGCATGATACTCTACAGCGAATCCAATCAAAACATATTTTAAACTGGACCAAACTCACACATCAACACATGCGAAGGACCAGTAGCTCAACTATAATATTCCGATGTACCCTAGTATCGGGTCAACGAACTAAGAGACAGGAACTCACTTGGAGGCACGTCAGCAAAGGCCACAGCGAGGACCCGGGGGGAGACAGCGTTCAGCTGTAGCACCCTTCCGGTGCCTAGCTGCCATGCCACCCGAAGGAAGCACGAGGGCTGGGATACTGCCAGGTTCCCCAAGCCTAGACAGGGGAAGTCGAGTGGCGGAGGTCGGATTCGAACCACGGACCTTCCGGTCAGTAAAGTCGCGCTCTAACCACTTGGGCCATCTTGCGGTATAACAGGAAACCACACAACCGGGTAAAGCTGTTGGTTTTTCAACTTTTCCTCGATTTGTCTATGCAGTCGTCTTCTGAAAGTGTGACATGGGTTTAAGAAGAGTCAGTTGATATATTAGAGAGAAAGGAGAAAGTTCTCACCAGCCTCTAAATATGACCACGCCGAACAATATCACGGATATCTTCGAGAAATACACTCATTTGCAAATCAATTAGTTTTCACGAGAGACTCAACTGAATCTCGTTTATGGTATTCTACAACTGAATGTGCTGCACTCAGGCCGCCTCATGTTTCAGCTGGCACGATATTCGAGATATCGCAGTATATTTGCATAAAGGAAACTACTCACAAGGCTGCTGAAAACGAGAGATTCAGTTGAGTCTCTCGTGGAAACCAAATTGATGTGCAAATGAGTGTATTTCTCGAAAACAGTCCAGTTTGGGTTCAATTAAATCATAAGGTTGACGGAAACTCGGGGACTGCGCCTACCTGATGAGCCCCAAGAAGGGCGAAACCGGTCGTGAGCTGTCGAAGAGTTTTCAGCAACCTTGTGAGTAGTTTGCTTCATGAAAATTTGTGGATGTGTCCTGAACGGTAATGAGTTGGAATTCGTCGTTTTACTATTAATGATCCACCAGAATCAGCCAAACTAACCACGTCACAAATCCTAGCCCTTACGAATAGATGGTCAACTTCAGGTGGAATTCGGAGTGCAAACAACCGAGATCTTTGTTTCCTATTTTGACGAACTTGTTTCGTTCTTCTTATGAATCCTAGAATAGGGTAGCGCTGTCATCAGTGATAATCTGCACACTCTTATTGACAATGAAGACAAAATAAGCCTTTTATATACTTCTGATAAAGTGATTGACCTATGACCTTGAACGACAACAGTATCTTATGCACGTGTTTTCACTGATGAGTAATAACACGATTTCAGGACCTCGAAGTTGTGAAACTACCGTAATCAGCTCCACGTATTGGCTCCGACCATCATACACTCTCTGTTTGATTTTTGGCTATCGAACGACTAAGGCAATTAAGATGTTATCCGTGGGTATTAGGATATACTAGGATATACTAGTGAACCAACGTGATTTAGGGTTTTCCAGAATTGCGCACGGATTAGCATTAGGTTACCACTGGGTTGGATTGACAAACACAACTTCCTTCTCGTGCTTTGTTTCTCCGTGACAGTCGCATCTCCTGCTCTGAGGGACGATATGCATTAGATAGGGTTTGGTTAAAAACGCTATTGTTTCGGGTGTTTCACCATCATGCAACGGAACTTCTGGGAGAAATCTCACTGTGCTAAAACTGAGTGTTTGCTGGCGTCCAAATGCATTTAAGATGTTTTTTTGTCGTTAACAAACGTGCTACCGTCCACTGAAACCCAAACATGTGATTGGTATTCGTCGAATATGAGCCGATCTGTATGGAGGCTGTGGACGTTTTGTGTTCTGTTGTGTCAACGACAATCCAACAGTCACTTTTAAACCGATTTCGTTTTTCTGTTTTCCTCGCACATTTCTTTAAGTTGTCATGTAGGTTAGGGCGCAATAGACCGGAAGATACGAGTCTGTTTGAAATATCCGTGGATTAGTTTCGGTCGGGTTTGGACAAGTGGGAGGTACTGTACTTTTCAACTGCTTTCTTGGGGTTCAATTCTAGATGGGCACAAGAGAAAACCACAACTGGATTGTTCTATTATACCCCTAATTTTCTTGGAGACTTTGACATTTTTTCCGTTCATCAATCTTCACTTGCGAAGAACAAAACACAGACGATTCCCTGTTTTTAGATTGTTAATTCAGCACGCCACCTTTAAAAAACTCTCATCATATAAAGAAACAACTTTGGGCTGTAATCCTGAGTGGCAAGTTTCATGTGCATCAATTTTTTTTTGGGGGGGAGGGCAAGATGCCTCAGTGGTTAGAGTGCGAATTTGCTGACCGGAAGGTCCGTGGTTCAAACCCGACTTCTGCATCTTGACTTTCCTTGTCTAGGCCTGGGCAACTTGGCAATATCTCTCCCTTCTGGTGGCATACCAGCCAGACACCGAAGGGGTGTTACAGCTGAATGGCCTATTATTTTCATGCATCTATTTTTACCGCGATCAAGATCCTTCAACAATCATGAAATATATATCAATTCCACTGAGTGTCCCTCCGGTATATGTTTTCAGTGGTTTGAATATGAAGCCTATCATTTAACTGCTTCAAATGCAAAAAGACGTCAAGTTCGCACGTAAGGACGTTGAACTGTTGGAATTTTGGACGATGATTTCCCTTCCAGTACGATAATCCGTCATTAAACACCACTCATCGCAAATATTATAAAACTTTACCAGAATGACGTATTCTGACGGTCCCGTGGGCTAGTAAATTCCAGAGCCAAGTTGTTTTGATCATCCCCGTGTGTTCGGGCACTTAATCAAAAAACGTTTGGCCATCATCTAGGCTTGAGTAGACTCACCTCAAGTTGGGAGGTGGCAGTGGACTGTAGAGACTTATGGTGGCATAAGGCGAAGTCGAACGAGCCCCATTCATCCCTAACAAGCAGTGTGAATGTTCCATGATAGTCGCTGTCAAGTTCAACAAAGGACCGCCCTGGGTGCCGCGAAATTACTGTAAGAAAAGGGACAGGCATCTGGCAGGAAAGTTGATCGCGTCAGAATTTACTGGAAAATTTGGTTGATCCGTAAAATANTTAGGGCGCAATAGACCGGAAGATACGAGTCTGTTTGAAATATCCGTGGATTAGTTTCGGTCGGGTTTGGACAAGTGGGAGGTACTGTACTTTTCAACTGCTTTCTTGGGGTTCAATTCTAGATGGGCACAAGAGAAAACCACAACTGGATTGTTCTATTATACCCCTAATTTTCTTGGAGACTTTGACATTTTTTCCGTTCATCAATCTTCACTTGCGAAGAACAAAACACAGACGATTCCCTGTTTTTAGATTGTTAATTCAGCACGCCACCTTTAAAAAACTCTCATCATATAAAGAAACAACTTTGGGCTGTAATCCTGAGTGGCAAGTTTCATGTGCATCAATTTTTTTTTTTTTTGGGGGGGGGGCAAGATGCCTCAGTGGTTAGAGTGCGAATTTGCTGACCGGAAGGTCCGTGGTTCAAACCCGACTTCTGCATCTTGACTTTCCTTGTCTAGGCCTGGGCAACTTGGCAATATCTCTCCCTTCTGGTGGCATACCAGCCAGACACCGAAGGGGTGTTACAGCTGAATGGCCTATTATTTTCATGCATCTATTTTTACCGCGATCAAGATCCTTCAACAATCATGAAATATATATCAATTCCACTGAGTGTCCCTCCGGTATATGTTTTCAGTGGTTTGAATATGAAGCCTATCATTTAACTGCTTCAAATGCAAAAAGACGTCAAGTTCGCACGTAAGGACGTTGAACTGTTGGAATTTTGGACGATGATTTCCCTTCCAGTACGATAATCCGTCATTAAACACCACTCATCGCAAATATTATAAAACTTTACCAGAATGACCTATTCTGACGGTCCCGTGGGCTAGTAAATTCCAGAGCCAAGTTGTTTTGATCATCCCCGTGTGTTCGGGCACTTAATCAAAAAACGTTTGGCCATCATCTAGGCTTGAGTAGACTCACCTCAAGTTGGGAGGTGGCAGTGGACTGTAGAGACTTATGGTGGCATAAGGCGAAGTCGAACGAGCCCCATTCATCCCTAACAAGCAGTGTGAATGTCCCATGATAGTCGCTGTCAATTTCAACAAAGGACCGTCCTGGGTGCCGCGAAATTACTGTAAGAAAAGGGACAGGCATCTGGCAGGAAAGTTGATCGCGTCAGAATTTACCGGAAAATTTNGTTTTTTGTAAATTGCACTGAATGGCTGGAGGTATCGGTTTCGATGTGTCATGTAGCACCATTTTGCTTAGATGTTTGATCAGAAAAACTTTTAATCTCCGATGAAAGAGCAGTGTTATTTATTTGTACATAGTAAAGTAGTGTGGTCTTGCCTCGTAACTGACGGTGGATTAGAAAAAAGCCGGGGAGCGATTGACTGCAAAACTTTCACACCTGAACGTTGCTGGGGTAGTTCCGCTTCCTGTCATCTGGAAAATTGTCCATTAGTATTCAATAAAGTGGCCACAGTTTACCGAAAAAGACTTCCTTTATTGACAGTGAATGTCATTCCGTTCTTGTGTACTCATAAGTGAAGTAGTGTTTATTGACTTCTCTGGCATTACCTTATTCTTTCTACGCAGCTTCTTACTACAAGAATCGATCGTTGTTTGGCAGTGGTTCTGAGGGTGGTTATTTAGGCGGTGCTGTAGTACTCCGCTAGAAAATATCGTGACATGTTTATGCATGTTTCCCTTTTTTGCAGAATTTAGAAACCCCGCTACATTTTGCCAGCAAGTTTGGCCACATAACCTGCGTCCGACTCTTGGCTGTGCATCCTTGGACCCAAATAAACGTCTTAAACCGGGCTGGCCAAACACCGTCTGATTTGGCTGCCTCTCGTATATCAGAGGTTAGCCGATCCAATGGACCTGTAAACGTGGATACTCCGGGTTGCTCTGCACGATCTGTTTTGGTCTCCCACCCTATTCGACGATTGCTCTCCGAACAGTAAGTGTGATTGTTACCCTTACCCATACAGATTTACAACACTTACGGATTCGGTGTACCTCCCTTTTGAATTTACGAGGAAGCGTGCCTAGGTTAGGCGCAGCAACTGGAATTTAATTTATTTTATCTTAGTAAGCAGTAAGGCTATAGATAACGGAAAGCCACGCGCTACACAAATTTACACTCTTATAGTGGGAAAACGCGCATGGGCTGACTCGATGCGGCTGATGTGGCCTCTTTAGAGTGAGTTTTTAAACCGAACTGTTTGGATGTTGCATATAACAGATTTTTATTGACTAGAGGTGGGGCTCTACGACGTGTACAACTCCATCTAAACCTTACCTCGATATTTCTCCTGTTCAGTCAAGTATCACCAACCCCGTATCCGCAATAATTTCCAAACAGGGAACTGGTGTTATTGGAGTAGGCCGATTGGAACGAACCGAGTTCAAATGGCGTGTGTATGCATGGAGTACACTCGAAACCGGTCGGCCACTCTACTGGACGCCTGAGCATAGCTGGCCAACTGCGGAACCCACTGATGCCAGTGTAAAGCTGAAGGAATGAGGTCAGGGGGAGGGTCCATGATGGCAGTTCTGAGCATAGCTGGCCAACTGCGGAACCCAGTGTGTTGTTTCGTGCCAGTCACTGATGCCAATGTAAAGCTGAAGGAATGAGATCAGGGGGGAGGGTCCATGATGGCAGTCGCGTTTCATTTAATGTCGGATTCTTGTTGTGCTCTACCTAGGAGAAAACCAGTCAAATTAGGACAAATGAGGATTCTGTCAGGATAAATAGCTGCAACACGGTAGAGTAAATTCTGGAACCTACATATGACCTGGGATGCTTTGATTGCACACCCACTATTGCATCGCTCGTGAACTTCAAATTTTCTATAAATATCCGCAGTCAAATAATAGTGGTGCTAATAAGATACTGGGAATAGCCACTATAGCTGACTAACCGGATTTCCTACCTGGAGATTATACAATACGGACGAAACTAAGCTATTTTAACGACACTAAACTCACGTCCTGCCTCAAAGGTTGAAAGAACTTCTGAAAAGAGGACCTCCAACACTTGTTGAGGCTCTCCGGTTTTTGGAAGGAATATGGCTGTTACCGACTATAGTACACATATTACGTGATTGGTTTACCAGGCTTTTGAGTTATTACGCTATTGAATTCGTTTGCATTCCATCGTCAAATTAACTTTATCCACAAAACTCTTGAAGGTGAGGCTCCCGTTCTTAGTGTTCTGTTTTTTTTCCGCAAGCACCCGTTATCGAACTCATTTTCCATATGTGGTGACCTCACTAAGAATACTTCTGAGCTAAGGAAGGGGATTGAGTTTTCGAAATTCGGCTCCAAACGGCCGACAGTTGACCACGGCTTCTTGATCACTTTCTCCCTGGGTTGCGTATACAGTGCTTTACACTGTGTCGCTTTACGGTGATTTCAGTTTTATCCTCCTGGTGGATGTTCGAAATACGAGGGTGCCTGGCGAACAAAAAACAACCATACTCCCATCGATATCGTCCCATCAATTTCAATCCTTATTGGCTCTGATGCCGTCTGCTCCCACTGCTCGCTTATTATCACTATTCCCATTCCTACCAGTGGAGCGTTCTCATCCCCAGACATCTACCAACGAGTCAAACACTCATACCGTCCAGCTGGATCTTGATCTCATTAACTTGGGTCTTGATGTTCACCTTCTGGCCCTACGTGGATTCGCTGGTCCTATGACGCGGGAGGAGGTACGTTTTGAAAGTTGGTACAGTACCCCTTTCTGAGGAAATGCCTTTGGGATTAGCGAAGTTTCTGCACCACGTTGTTCTGTCGTATTATGGATGTCCAGTGTGTCTTCTCCAATGCCATCCAACCCAGGCTAGCTGGCGAACAATCGTCTGTAGGAACTCATCCATATCGCCTCATCATCTAGAGGCACTGACGGGGATGTCCGTCATTCTTGTGTGACATATATATATATATATATATATATATATATATAAGCTGAAAGTTCCTCAATGTTGACACTATCCGCGCAACATCTAGTCTTGGTTAATTATTTTACCCTTGTAGTATTACCTCTAACACACTGTGATCTTGCCCTGGACATGGCCTTCTAATCGTGTTGTCCGCTAGTTTGCATACAGTTTATATTCCAGGGTACGACTCTACTCGGTTTTAGTTGAGACGTAGTACCAGGAAAAGCTGAGTTGCAACCATCTTAACCTTTCAATGAGTTTTACCTTTGATGGCACTACCAATCCTTCTGTTGGATTCTTTGCTGAGGGCTTTTAAGTAACATCTTATATTCGGCCTCTGGCTTCATTCTGCATGTTTTGGTAAAGTAGCTCCGCACTCGAATCAGCTCAAAATTACTTTGGTCTCACTCGTTGCAGATCAGCTGAGATCCGCTGATTCTATCGCGACAGACTTGTCCTTGGGCATACACCAGCTGAGAATGGGTTTATCTTTGGACTTCTTCATCGTTGCTTTGGTCTTGAATTAAACTTGGGTTTGTCCCCTTTTCCCTTGATCTTTAGGCGGAAGTATTTCGATCGAGATGGTTGAAGACCAATTCGTCCACGTCATTCAAGACCTTTGCTTCTGTTCGCCTGACTGATCCAGAAAAGGGCTACGAGCGGCAGGGTCGGTAAGCGACTGTATCTGTTGTGTACATATTCATACATTTATTTCTTTAGCAGAGCAAAAATACGTGCTCTTTCTACTGACATCTTACTACCTCACTACAAAGCATTACATAGAAAGCACATAGTGGTCTGTATCAAAGTGTGATTGTTATTGCTGTTTCTTATAGACGAACCTTGTTTTCTTAACAGGAACGCGATATCATCCAAGGGGTCTGTCAATCAAGGACGGGCCAGTTACAGGCTCTTGGCTAAGCACCGCGATCAAAGCAACTTAGACATCTGATTCCCGTCACACCTTGGTGATAAAAACTCACTATCCTCTACGAGAGGCCTTTTAGAAATGCAGACTTCCTCATGTATCATTCCATAATCATTCCTCATATATCATTCCATATACCATTCCATAATATTATTCCATATATCATTTTCATATATCATTCCATTCCCTTATATCATTCCTCTTGTTTTTAGCCCACAATTTCCTACTCGAGTCTTTGTTTTAGTCGTGATGTTATGGGGATGGCTCATGTGCTTTTTTATTTTCTGTCTCTTTTACACCATACATTATGTGTAGGAAACAAGTCATATAACCGTGTATACCTAACGGCTGCGTCCGTAGATCCTCAGGGCTTTTACCAGTTCTCACTGCAGTCATTCGGCTAATTGCATTTTGGCCAAAATACTTCGATTTGAACGCCATGTGCGAGCAGCGTGCATCTGTGCTTAATCATAAATATACCTGGGTGTCAGACATATCGTATCATATCTTCGCTGTCACTAGCCTTCATCGATAAAGGTCTTCCGATCGGAATTTCTGCATAGCCTGATCGAATTAATTGTCACGATTCTGATATTCCCACTTTTACAATACATAAGTGAAGTACCTAACAGCATGCTGTTCAGCCAGAAAACTATTCATCTAAATAAAGAATCAGAAACACTAGAAATTAAACAATTGGCATGTTTACGAAATCAAATTCCACTGTAGCTGCGAATGCGCTTCGTCAGGAAAAGGTGATGGGACCTGATTGATGGTTTTAAGGTCATACGCAGTCGCTTAGCAAGGCTGAACAACTTATTTCAGTTTTTTAATACCTATTCGCAGTGCATACCCCACACAGGAATGCCTAACTTCCAGTGTCTTCTCAGTCGCATATTGCATTTATATTCCTGTGGTTGACGATAGGTATCAAATTGCCTCGAATAAGAGTTGGGTCGGGTAGCTAGTCTTTTACCTATTTATCGTTCCTTCCCTGTCCTTTTCTGCCATTGCACGTTCCCGATTGCTCACACCGTCACTTTCTATTTATTTTCATTGGTCAACATATCGATCTCTAATCTTAAAAATAGCAGCGTTGTTGCGAAATTCCGCAATCTCGTATTAGTACTGCGCGTTGGGTGGCTTTGACATGTACAGTTTGAACGAAGTTGTCCAATATTGAGAATCGTGGCTCGTTCTCCGTAAAACTTCAGTTAACCAGTCAAATGTTGATAACGTCGATAGATAAATACTTGGTCTCACAGCCATCCGACCCCATCGCATTGGCCTCTGGGTAATAAACTGGGCGCAATCATGTGTTGATTATTCTTGGCAAACTGTATAATAACTTTACTTTAAGTACGGTGTTGCCTCCATGGAGATCTTGGAATGTGTAAATTAGTCTTTATGTGGTTTATTTATCACACACCAGTTATAGTATTTATTTGTAGGGGCGAGCTAACAGGTGATAGTGCTCTTACCAATAGGCCTTATTCTATCCCTAAATCCTAGTCCTGTAGCTTTTTGATTTATTAGTCACTCACGCTGGGACTTTTATTTTTATTATCTGTTGTGGGGTTTTCGGGATATGTATTGTTCGTATTCATATCACTCTCGTTTGAACAGTCGTCCTCGATATGAGGAGTTTATTTTCTTGCGGATTTCAATATGTAAGCCCCCAGTAGTCGCTCAGCACCGGTACTCCTAGAGTCAAGCTGCTTGTGAAAGTCATTCGTATTCAGATAATGATCTGCTTTGTCATAAATTACTCCTCCTCTTCTTTTTAGACACCTTTCGCGCATCTCGGGCGTACAGTGGCATGAATACTGGCCATTAATGAATGACTACTTAGATTTGGCTTCGGAGCAAGGCCTTACCATCTTAGAAAATTATATGAAACAATGCCCTTCACCTTTTAAATTGCCCTCATGTCAACCAGTCACGCTTTCGAATGGAACTATGCTGCACAAGAAATCTGGTGCTATCGGTGATACAGAGGAACCCGGCGACCATAGTCCAGGACCTTCCAGCGGCCCTCTCAATTTCGATGGACCTGTCCATAGTACCCCTATCCGACGCCAGAGGGTCTCTTGGCCAGACCATCCCATCACCTCTACAAACCAGGATCCATGGATGTCCTATCGCTCGAATGCTTGCGCCACGAATGTGCTTAACGATTCCCTTGATGGGAGCAATGATGACTCCGAAATTCATGTGCCTCTTCAAGAGTGAGTCACAGAGGTCCCCTCTCACACGACAAACGGACCGTGAATGTTTATACTACCTTCAATGCTATGAGTAGACGAAAACACCTGTCTTGCTGAGGTAGCTTAGTATTGCCGTGATAGTCATTTGAAATACGCTTGTAGAAACTTTATGATGGCTTCATTGAACTAGTATCCCTAAGAATGGGTTATATGCCTTCACGAGTGACAAACTCCGTATGAATGATGCCATCAGATTAATAGTCATTTGAAATACGCTTGTAGAAACTTTATGATGGCTTCATTGAACTAGTATCCCTAAGAATGGGTTATATGTCTTCACGAGTGACAAACTCCCTATGAATAATGCCCATCAGATTAAGGCCTGTGATTGCAGTAAGCTGAACGCAGCAAACTGCATACTGGGTAAATTGGACCTCAGTTCTTATCTCCATGGTGCGTTTTCCGAGAAGTTCAACCTGTTCGATTCTCAGCCGATATGTGCCAGATGCTTACCTGCCCTGTCTATCTGAACCCGTACGTTCGGTTGCGATGCCCCCGCTTTTTTGTTGCTACTCAATAGTTCCATGAATGATCCAACTCGATTGGACAAAGCAATTAGGGCAGACGGTTGCGTTCACATTGTTTTTTGGCCACCAAAACCTGCGGAACCGACAACCATGTTCATGTGAACCGTCTATTATTGGACAGATCGACCTAATAACCCAATGTCCACCAAACCAAACTATCACAAGTATCTGAATGCCCCACAGGGTGCGAGATGGACCAATTGGTTGGAGCGTTAATTTACTGACCATAAGCTCCATGGCTGTGACCCGGGTTCCGCCTCTCAACTTCCCTTGTCTAGGCTTGGACAACCTGGCAGTACCCCAGCCCTCGTGCCTCCTCCGTGTAGCATTGCAGTTGGGCACCGAAAGGATGTTACAGCTGAGCGGAAAGCCCCATATGACATTTGGCTAGTTCATTGATGTGATCCGTTGGTTTAGGTGGTCAGGGGCAGGAAGTACCACCACGAGCTATGAAAATATTCATTGCTCAGAGGTTAGCGACTCCGCGGATAAACGAATTACGGAGTATAGGCGTACACTATTGAGGCTGACAGTTGGCTCATTGTGTACTTTGCTTGATTCGAAGCTATCTATCCAGGGTTGCCGGTACGCTTCACTCAATTTGGTCCGGTTTGGTTATTCGTTTATGAACCGCATACCATAGTTCAATAATTCAGTTTATCGCAGTGTTCCATTCCGTAATGTCATGTTGGTGGGTTTGAAGAGAAAATCGTCGGGACACAGATGATGCTTGGTATCAGTGTGTCACAGTATTTCGAGCTGATGGTGACGGCGTTGAGGCTACTGATGGCAGACGATGGCGTGTCGGTGTGATATTTCTTTGTGTTACACCGGCGAATGGACCCCTGGTGTTATGAATGTATCCTTATTATTACCACTACATTCAGTTTGTTTCTTTCATCATTTTTCTACGCAAATTAGATTTCATTTGAATCATCTTCCATGTTTTGTCCATACAGTTCAGAGGACGGACAACAGGTCGACCGCGTGACGTCCACCATTCAGCTGAGTCCTATTCTCAGTCTATTACAACGTCTCACATTCGCAAGTCCATTACGGTGGCTTTTGATTGACAGTCCCGGTGGTCGTGAACCTCTATTCAACCCAGAGTCGGCATTGCCAGACCACAAAAAGCTAGTTAAGCTACAGAGCCCATGTATCAATATTGGAACTTCTCCGGGAAAACGGAGGATGTCGGCAATCGATCCGGATGCCACCAAATCGGACGACCAACCTTTGTCTAAAAAACCTTCACCGAAAAAATTGCACGAAGCTATGAATTTTAACCGGATCAAAGTCCCTTTGTACCTCAAACATATTTACCGAGCCCTACCAGCTGGTGACCCGGAACTGGAGACTGCTGTGACTGTTTTAAGCTGTGCAGAACAGTCCACTGTTGCGCCAACCTATTCCCGCCTACCCAACCTGTCCCGATTTCCCATCGTTGCCACATGGAAAAAACAGATTGAAGCTGTTCTACCTTCTTCTCAGAACCCCGGTAACCGTTGATGCTTTCACTTTATATGCATTTCAGATAAATTTCTATGATGATTTCCTATTTTCACCTTATACGGAGTAATGCACAATCACCAGAATATAACTTGCTGTTCCATCAATTCTTGACTTATGTACACCTAATCACGATTTCTGTGCGCTCTCAGTATTCCTGGAAATCTGATAAGCGTATATATCGTATACTCTATGTTCTTTTGCTGTACTACAGGTGTCTATACTTGAAACGGCGAGTGTAGACGCTCCTGTTCAGGAATTCACTTGAATCCTTGATTGCCTCGGTCGATTTTGTGGGTTCTTTTTAGGTCTGAGGGCAGTTTTATATCGAAATGATGTGACATTTTGTTTCTCTTGTATGGAGTCGGACTCTTAATCATTGAAATCATCAAACTACAATAACAAGGCGCCGCGCAAGCTGCTTGGTTGAGTGACGTCCTTCGTCAACCTTCGGATACCAAACCGTCGAATGTTTATAGTTCGTCTTTTAATCACCACTGCCACCCAGAAAGTGCAAGGAATTTCATGAATGAACCCCAGGCGTCATATTCTGAAACTCAGCAAACGGCCACTGTAATCAGCAAACTTGTCGCTTCAGAGGTCATCATTTCAAAGGCAGCCGTTAGTTCACACTGATTCGTTTGCAGTAATGGGATTAGGTAGGAGAGAAGAATGGATGTATGAAAGAAATAGAAGGAAGCTTCAGTTGTTGTAACCTTTTTCCGAATCGCTATGTTGTAGGTAACAAGCAAGGCAACCTGGCTCTTGACACCACACGACGGGCGATATGCTATGAAAATATCTATTTCTGCAGCCCATAGGTGTGTATGGGTTGGATTATCCTCCGGCCGTCCGGACCGGAGGTTCACTAGGGCACATTTAAAGCCTTGGGGTAAGCGGTTTGACCGGAAGATAGCGGTGGTTGGTACAATACTGGGGCTTCTTTCCTGCACAAGAGTGTTGTTTACGGGAATCCAGAATCCAATGTAACATGCGCGGAATTTTAAAAGCAACACTTGCTTTTAGGGAGAAAAGGCTGAGCCCTGTACTGATTTTGTAGGTTATATAGGACATATCTAGTTTGTCCTTCGTGTTGGACTCGTACTCTAAACCATCAGCTTGCTTGGCTTACCGGACAACTTGAGCATATATTCTTTTTCACGAACAGTCGCTAGTTCGCACCAAATTTAAAGTGTTACTCATGGAAAACACTGAGTGGATGCTGTAACACCGTAAAAAGTGACCTATTAGTGCTGCTTCGAAAAAGATAAAAATATACTCTGATCAATAACCCGATAAAAACTCTTCTGTGCACTTATACCATCTGGGTGCAACGTCAAATCCACAATGTGCACCTGTTCGGTGAAATCTACTGTTGGGTTTCAAGAACCAACCGTATCCACATTTACATTCGCAGTACACCGATCTCCCGACCAAGCAGCCATTTTGTTCTGGTATAAGTTTTTTGGTAACCTGAGTGTGTTGGTTATCTTGACCAAAGTGTCGATAAATTATCTGTCGTCCCTGGTAGTTGCACCTTCTTGCGTAGGCCATCTTCCCACCGCTCCTTTATCATACTTGACAATCGCTCACATCACGCGTCAGCAGTCCCTCAATTATCCTCTTTTCTCCCTATGAATTATTATTTTGATTAGGCAAACGATTGAACATAGCTGGCTTTTGTGGCATAGGTGCGCGAAATAATGTGAGCTGAATTCAACCACTCACGGACGGCTGCTTATCGTGTTTTGTATGGGTGGAGTTCGACTCGTTTCGTTTCGTAGCAATGAACAAACTAAACTCAAGGTCACCAGTGAGACTTTCAGCTACTGGTAAAATGATTTGGTTCCTGCTTAGTTGTTACGTCTTGGAGATACAATGTTTTCTGCTTGGGTGGTGGACAGTTTTGTAAGCACAAAGAACCCACATAAAATGTGTCCTTTAACGTTTCGTGGTTGTTGATTTCCGATGAGGGAATCTTCATATAATCGGAAGTTGCCAGAATAGTTTCAGTCTTGGACTCACGTGTCTCGTGTGGGTCCACACAACTCATCAAAGGAGAACGATTTTGAACGGGTTGTCCGTTCGCAACTGAATGACGCGAAATCGACGTTTAATCTGTTTCTGTTAAGTTTCTGTACAAACAGGGGACACCATCAGAAGCACAGCCCTAGGGAAATTGTTCAGCTACACAAGGAATTTGTTCTGAAGGGGAATCCCTACACTTGAAAACAGTTTTGGGTTTAGCGCATGCGTTTGTGGATTGTGTTGACATTTGCTCATTCAGTTTCAAAAAACAAATGGAAAGATGTCCGCTGTTGCCCAGTCCCAGCAAGGACGAAACAACAGCAGTACGGTGTTTCTTGAGGTTTTCATGGAAGTATTGTACAACGAATTCGCTGCAGGTTTTCACCTACGCCCATAGTTCACGGTACTAACAAGAGGGACAATTACTTTCGCCCTAATTGGTGCCGACCAGACGGAGGCGGTCATGTGATTTTTGGTTTACATATGTTTCCGAGTTTAGCACAAAGTAGCTGCGGGTGCACACGCTTTTCTACTTGGTACGTCTGATTTGGAATACTTCACTTGTTGATGTTGTTATTCATGTTCGTTGCTTTGAACAGTAACTGCCTTGATCAACAGTGTCCTCCAAAGTGAACCACATTGGCACTCTAACATGTGCCATTGGTTTCAAAAAGTTTTACTGGAACTAGTGTGTGCTGAGCTCCGTTTGCTTCTGTGAAACTGCGTTGCGATCGATCCGTCCTATTCAGCCCGTAATGTATCCCGAAGGATGAAATTTCCTAATGTCGAGTACTTCGAGGTTTTTTCAAACAGCAATCGCCTGTCCTCGGCTGATGGCTTCCTTGTCCCCGTACTTGACACTTGTCGATTCTCGTCGGCCTTGTAGTTTGTCGGTTGGTGTGACTCCATTTTGTCACTCACTATCATGTGTTTAAATTCAATCTCCATGTGTGTTACGAGGTTATTCTCTGTTCAATTTCAAAAATTGAGCGGCCTGATGGTTTGGTAGCTGTACATGAATAATTTCATGGGGTTTTTAGGTGCCCCACCCCGGCTGTACTTCGTTAGAGAGAAAACAGTTGCATCGAGGTTCAACACCGTTACATACCAGTGAAAGGAAGAAGGCCTTCGCTGCGGAGTTGTTTATTAGAAAATACCAACTGAACAGTTACAGACTGGTGGACAGGGGAGCAATACTCTCATATGCATTTTATTTACAAAAACTGAATATCCATCTTCTCCTTGACTGCGTCTTCCTGAACTTTCCTGAATACTCATTGACTGTTGCTCAAATCCAAGCAAATGTACAAAGCGACTCCATAAATTCCGCAATAGATCTCACTTTTCAAGAGGCGCAAAGCGAATTTACGAGAAAACATACTAGTCGCCTGCCTACCCCATCAGTAATATGACCGTTACACCAGTAGCTTCGTGTGCATCTGTTGCGGCTTTGTTTCTTCATGATATTACATTATGTTTCTTGGAGTCTGGTAGGATCATTAAAATGAAGCTTGTGGTTGACCTCAGATTGGGACCAGACTCCTATTTTCTAGGATACAAGCAAGCTTTAGACGTGTTTCGCTCGAGATCCTAAAAACGAAAGCCATTAATCGTTTGCAAGTAGGACGGTTTTACAGTCACAGCTGCGTACATGTAGACAAAACCAAGTGGTGCTGTCTGTCCTCTGTGAAGTAACATGCATAGGCACAATTGAGGACCGTTGTACATTGAGGAGTAATGAACGATCTTTGGGCTGACTGAAAATACCCGTATGGCTCAAAACGCGTATCCCTGAAAGTAATGACATATTTTTCAGAATACCTTAGTGTTCACCGACAAAGTAGTTTTTAGAAGGAAATAGGTCCACGTCAATTTTCTGGGTTGATTCCAGTGACGAAATTGACTTCCTTGGCTCTGAGTCTGTCGTTTGCTAGCCGATGTATATAAAGGACCGAGGCGGGACTTCAAAGCATACATTGTATGTGCGCTATGTTGGGCATCATTATCGGCAAATTACGGTCGAACTCAGGGAGCGATCTTGATATCAATTTGGCCGCTGGTAACTCATGAGAACGCGCAAAATATGGCACTGATCAGTTTGGATGTCGGTTCGAGAAAAGTGCTTATCTATGCTGCGTAGTCGAGATTTGTGAACTGTGGACCCAATACAGGGATGATGGAAGCCCTGGATGGTATGGCAAGTGGGGTTCGATCAGTCAGCCTACTGAAACAACCTGGCGTAACATAAACTCGCTACCTATATTTGAAACTTTCCAGGATTTCTACCCAAAATGTGGCGGAAAGTCATATCAGAGTTTTCTTAATTTAACCTTCCCAAAAGATGGCGAAAATGGGTGCGAAATAATCATGAGGTCAATGTAAGTTATTAGCTCTTATCCTCCCTTGCTCAGGTCTCCTAACATTCTCAATATACACTCGGTTGCTGGGGGTTATCAATTTCATTCTAAGTGCCACGTAATCCAAGTAAATGACACGTGGAAAAGATCATACAAGCTTACTCTTGGTCTGACTTCATCCCCGTCAATGTTATCGGACCAAGTCACTGGAAGAATACTGAACTCGAGTGATGTAAGCGGTTTGGTAATTTTCTTGCGAGGCAGAAGCTGAAAACCTACAGTGCACGGCTAAACATTAGATCATCCCGTTATTTGACGCGGCCTTGAAACACAGAGCAGTGAGTAATTTCGTTGTGTTTCTAATGATCTAACGGTCCTCTTGGATGGCCTCAATCCGTTTGGTAATTTTCTTGCGAGGCAGAAGCTGAAAACCTACAGTGCACGGCTAAACATTAGATCATCCCGTTATTTGACGCGGCCTTGAAACACAGAGCAGTGAATAATTTCGTTGAGTGTTTCTAATGATCTAACAGTCCTTTTGGATGGCCTCAATCCTTAGCCTACTGCACCATTGTCATTCAATATCATTTTCTGCCATATTGTCCAAAGAATCACCGCAACGAGTATACATTCTAACAAATCGATTATTGGACTGATGCGTTTGCAGTGCTACAGCAGCTGCGACAAAATAGTATATTTCTTTGGAGTGGATTGCTGCTGATCCCCGGAC